TTAGGTTGAGACACATGGAAATCGCGAGATGATAAGTTAGCATTTGTTAATTGGACAAATTTTCAAAACCAACCCATTTAGAAACTTAATTACAAAAAATCGGTCTATTTCAATTTAATTGCCAAAATCGGCCCAGTTTCAGCCAGTTGGCTGAACTGGATCGATTTTAGCGAAATAATTTACGAAACTTCACGGGACTTCAAGTCCCGTAAAGTTTCATAACATTTTTTATCAAAATCCACCCAGTTTCAGCCAGTTCGCTGAAACCGGGTCGACTTTGATATTTAAGTTGCAAATAGGTCATTTTTTGTAATTAAGTTGCTAAATATGTTGGTTTTGAAAAATTGTCCTTGTTAATTTGATTGGGTAAAAAAGAAAAAGTTGCCATGTAATTGACGAGGCATAAAAGTAACGTCACTGCGAGATTCACACTAGTGGAAGCGCCAATATTTTTTTTGTTTATTGTGTAAGTGCCAATATGGAGGGTACAAGTAGCAATGTTATCATACCACAATATGTACAGATGATGTTACATCTATAAACTTAAGGCTAGATTACTAAATTGGTATTTTTATTCGACCCTCTTTGCTAGTTTGGTATATTTAAAAAATCCGGAGACAACAATGTATTTTATTAAGGCACTGCTTACCAATAAGACCATTTTCCTTAAAATCCCGGCAAAAAAATTTATTCTACCTCCCTAACCTCTCAAAAAATTTAAATTCACACCCTTTCCCTTGAAAATTCTAGCAAGAGGAGAAAATGGAGGAGAGGAAGGGGAGGAGGTTAGAGGGGAAGGAGTGGGAGGGGCAGGATCAGGAGGTGATGACGAATTGCTCGGGGAAGGCGAGGATTGTGGTGGGGATCACTACTAAAAAATGAGGCATCCTAGACGGAAAATTCCGTCTAGGATACCCAGAATTCCGTCTAGGATGCGTATTCTAGACGGAATTCCGTCTAGAATACGCGTCTAGTTTATTTTCGTCTAGTATGTATTATTCTAGACGGAAATTCCGTCTAGAATACATCCTAGACGGAATATTCTAGACGGAATTCAAAACCGTCTAGAATACATCCTAGACGGATTATTCTAGACGGAATTTCCGTCTAGAATAATTTATCCTAGACGGAAAAAAAATCCGTCTAGAATAAGTATTCTAGACGGCGGAATTTCCGTCTAGAATAATTTATCCTAGACGGAAAAAAAATCCGTCTAGAATAAGTATTCTAGACGAAAAATTCCGTCTAGAAATCTCATTCTAGACGGAATTTGATTTTTTAAATTTTTTTATTTTTTAAATTTTTAAAAAAGTATTCTAGACGGAATTTAAGCATCCTAGACGGAATTTCCGTCTAGGATACTATGCTACAGTAATTTTTTTTTTTTTTTTTTTTTTTTTTTCAGAATTTTTTTTTGGTGTATTTAAACACAAATCCAATTATATTCAAATAATACATTCATCAAAATAGTAGAGAGATACATAGATTGTTTACAAACTTTTACATAAATTATTTACAATGGCTATGACACTGCAGAAGCTTCTTCAACTCCTTCCCTATACATTTACTTAAGCTCTCTTCTTCACCTTCTTCCTCATCATCCTGAGTGTCACAAGTCTGCCTATACAAAATGGTAAAATAATATGTACCTATGGAAACGGGAAAATATAGCTAAAACAACACCAACAAAACTTATGATGAACATAGAATGAGATAATTAAGATTACTCAGAAAGTAAAGATAGCAGATAAAAGCAAATTATAATTATGATGAACATAGAATGAAAATAGGGAATATTAGACCAACCCTTGCAATGGAGTCAGGTGAAGGGGTTCCAAGTAGATCGGTCATGAGATCCAACTGATGCACGACATTTTTCCCAGGAAACAATGGTTTTCCCGTTAATACCTCTGCAAATATACATCCTATGCTCCAAATATCAATTGCAGGAGTATATTGCAAACCAAATATAACAAAAATCAAGCTTAGCATATTGCAGCAGTTTTATAGCCGTATTCTGAAGGTGTTGGTTCCTGGCTGGAAGCTGAAAGTATCTTTATCACTTGGTTAACAAAGATAAAAGGACATTAATTGGACGAGATAAATTCATTTCGTCAATAGTGAATGAAGTTATAGATACATGCGAGAAATGTGAATGATATAAAACAAGTGCAGCACAACTTAAAAATAGGATAAACTAAGAAATTATAAGTGAGGGATGGAGGCTTACTCCTTAACTGGCCAAATATGCAAAATTTACACAAAGTGGGTAAACAGGTCTTAATTTGAGAAACATAATAATAACACAGGAGTTAACATAACCAGTCTTAATTTAAAGACTCTACTTGATCCCTCTTCCTTAAAACATATGCCAAGCAGTACCCCAAGTGTAATAATTATTTATTCTCGTAGCTAGAGTAGAATAAATGGCATTGCAATTTAGATATGGCCACCCAAATATGAATACACACTTTCAGTATTTTTCGCTTCTTATTTCATGAGAGCTTTCTTAAATCTGGAATATTTTATTAGGATGATATGGAGCCACATTTGCTCTTGTAGCAAAAAATTCATGATCAAACAAATTATAAGTAGGGTTATTTTCCTGATAAGGACCTATGTCATCTGAGAATTGTTTTTGAGCTATCACAGGCAATGCAAGAACCTTGGTTCAAAGTTATTTCAGTCGAGAAAACTCCACAAGAGCATGTATGATACCGCTATCCGTTGATGTGACAAAGGTTTGTGTAAAAGTATGGAGGTAATGTTTTCATATATTAAATTGGATTGATGGACTTAAACCGAAGAAAATTAATCACGTGCATATAAGGTAGGATAGTCTAAACTTAGAGAAAATCTATGCCCCTCTTAGCAACACCTTTATTTGTACAAAAAATGTTATGTATACACAAAGTTGAATTAGTTCTCACCTTAGAGAAAAATGAACCACATAGTTCAGGAGCCCGATACCACCGAGTTGCAACATAATCCTAAAAAAGAAGGTGTAGCACATGAACCAACAATATAACCAAAGAAAGAAACATGAAAATCCCAGATCACTTATATCCGTTAAACATAACAAACACTGAAAAACACTTTAACAAATTAACAGCCCAATAACACAACTGACAGGAAGAGTCACATACAGTCCAAAAAATAGCTGATGGGGTATCATTGAATGAAACACGAGCAAGTCCAAAGTCACAGATTTTCAACTTGCAGTCTGCATTGGCAAGTATATTCTTGGGTTTCAAGTCTCGATGGAATACATTAGTTGAAATTTATTGACCTAGCATTCAAGTCCCTAACTTCTAGGACTCCAAAACAAGAAACTCCATTACATTAATGTTGAATTCTCCAGGAAAACAGAAGATTGATCAAGTATGAAGATTGATCAAGTATGAAGTATAGCCATGTGCAGTGACAAAGCAATAATACCTAGCAAAGAAAGAAATTACAGTTAAAGAGACTCACCCAATGATTCCACCAATGCAATCATAGAACTGCTCAACCTCCCCCAAGGTCTTCAAAAGGTTCCTCATTTCCTCATCCCCTCCGCTCTCTCGCCGAGCTTGCTCCCCATCCAAGCTCCAGCCCTCCACCATATCCCCCAAAACCCGCATCGCCCTCTTCAGCACGCCGCCCTCAGTTAGCCCCCGTGCTCCGCCACCGCATCAAGCACGTGCTCCTGGCCGGCGGCAATCAAACACTTGATCAAACAACCTCCGACCTCTCCAGCTTCCCCAAAACCCTAGAAACTCATCCCTTCCTCGATCCCAAGAAATCCCTAACCCTAGCTTCAGAATCAAGGATCAAAACCTTCTCTTCCAGAGTTTCAGCGCCTCTTAGCCTCGATCGGATCAAAACCTTCGCTTCTAAGATTTGATTTGATCTTCTGACAGCCGTCGGAGGAGGAGGCGGCGGCGGCGGGGACGTCGGGGGTGGGGGTCCTATTTTTAGGGTTGGGGTGAGATTTTTTAGCTGGGAATTTGAAAGAGGGGATGAATATTTTAAGGGATTTTTTTTCGTAAATAAGAAAGGGGCTGATTTTTGGAAACGCGGGATTTCCAAAACTGAAACCGCGAAAATGGAAAAAAAAAATTTAATTTTTTCCGTACAGGAAACTATCCTAGACGGAAATTTCCGTCTAGGATAAAGGGAACCATAAAAAATTAAAAAATAATTAATAAAATCCGTCTAAAATAGTATTCTAGACGAAAATTCCGTCTAGAATGCTATATTCTAGACGGAATATTCTAGACGGAATTTTTCCGTCTAGTTTAATACATTCTAGACGGAAAAAATTCTGTCTAGAATATTCCGTCTACAATACATGATTTTCTACTAGTGGATGGGAGTGGAGGAGGAGAGGGGAATGAGAGAGGGATGGAGTTGGAGGGGGAAGGAGAGGTGGAGGAGGGGAGGAGGAGGACGAGGAGGAGGAGGAGGAGGGTATGCATTTTTTGGGGGGGGAGAGGAGTAGGAGGGGAAGGAGAGGGAGGGGAGGAGTTGAGGGGGAGGAAGGCGGAGGAGGGAGGAGGGGAATGGGAGAGAGGAGGAGGAGGAGAGAGGGAGAGGGAGGGGTGCATTTTTTTGGGAGGGGAGGTTTGAGAGGGGAAGGAGAGGAGGCCAGAGAGGGTGGGTAGAGGGATGACGTTGGTGGGGGAAGGGGAGGTGGAGGAGGGGAGGAGAGGGGAATGGGAGAGGAGGAGGTGGAGGATAGAGAGAGGGAGGGGATGCTTTTTTTTTTTTTTTGATAATTTTGGGCATAGATTTAATAATTTTGATAGGTAAGGGCGTTACAAAAAATTTTCTTGCCGGAATTTTAAGAAAAGTGTCTTACCGGTAAATAGAGTGGCAATAAAATACGTTGTTGTCGCCGAAAATTTTAAATATACCAGACTAGCAAAGATGGTCGAATAAAAATAACAATTTGGTAATTTAGCCATAAACTTAAGGATATGTGTTCTAATTCTGAGGGGAGCAACATAGACATTTCATAAGCACGATAAGATGCAGCATTTCTTCACTTTCAGCACCTCAATTTTCATTCCACCGACATGCCTTTTTTAATAAAAGGCTTTTTACCCTTAATCATTTCATAAACCTAATGTGCTAATAAATGATACAAGTCAGGAAATACTGAAGCAAACCAGAAGTATAAATATTTTGCTACGACGACATAGTCAGTTCCAGAACAAAAGTCACTGAATATTGATACAAAACATTTACAAGCCCACAAGGCATTGGATGGAAAAGGAAACCCCATTTGCAGTACCAAAAACTATTTTCAAGTTTGTTTTAAAATATGAATCTTCCCAGCTACATGAGCAGCCATTCTTCCGACTTCAGCTTTTCAGAAATGCTTTCAAAGAAAATGGTGGAGGACCTTCCTGCTAGCACAAATTTAAGTATAACTATGTTTACATATACCGATATATTCGCAAGCAGAAGCAGACTGATTATTCAATGCAAGGGTAAAATTTATTTGTTCACCAGATAATATTGTCAAGGAGATAATGCTCTAGTACCATCTGAGAAGATACTCAGAAAAGAGGAAAATTTCGGAATATACGACTTAAGCTGGCACATAGAGATAGTTGTGACTTCCTTCACTCCGACTTATTCTTTACTTGAAAAATAAGGTTGAGGTGGGAGGGGAAGATTTATATATCGTAACTAACAAAAAAAATGAAGACACATGATTATATACCTTGCCAGCTTCCTGATGAAGGAATTGCCTAACAACTGTTGCCTGCTGAATCAGCCTCTCCATTGAAGAATAACTAGGAAGATTAGCATGTGCTGACATTAACCATAAGGAAGAGGTAAGATTAGGCCGGGATCCGTATAACGAACTTATTAAGAGCAAAGAGGAAATTAGCACATAAACGCATAAGAAAATTAGCCTAGTCAACAAATGAGATGTAAAGATCATACCAAGAATTGCTCTATTTAGACCATCTGCAACATTCTGCCGATATTCTGGGCTCAGTAAATGAAACATTGGTGACTTTTCTGGCTCCTCATAAGCAAGAAGCGCCATGAAATCCTGATATCACACATTATAAAAGGTAGGTAGATTGTTTGTAAGAACTCAAAAGTTACAATATTATGATGAAGCAAATGTGACTGCATTATGACACGCAGGGCAAACTGTAAATCTTTAAACATACCTCCAGCTTCTCCACATATTTGTTTATCTTTCCAAATGGTGTCAATTTGGCCTGAGCAAACTCCAAAGCTTCTGTGCTGCCATTTAATGAATGAATCATTTAGTGGGCATAAAGAATCTGTTGGTACAGAACTTTGGCAACTCACCATTTTCTAGAACAAATGAGATCCACAAAGTGAAGGCTCAACAGATCAAAATGCAAGTCTTCATTTCCATCCAGCAAGTTGGGTACTAGTTGCTGTGTTAATTCTATGGCCTTGAGAGCACTGCCCTCCAATGCAAAATGATAGATTGCTAAGAAAATCAAAATAAACAACTATCACTGAAACTTAAAAGGCGCGGAAACATGAATGCATTCTGAAATATGATTTACTGCTTCCAAGAATGAGTACACCCACACTCATAGCAGCTGCACTGTGCATTCACAAACCACACATATGATGGAGAAAACGAGTATAAGGTGCTAACTAATTTTGCTAACGATAATTTGCCTACATACCTCCCAAATGTTTCAAACATATTTGCATAAAATTAAGC